GCCCCGCCCCAAACAGGCCCCGCCCCTAGCACCAGGGCCGGTCCGACACGTCCGCGCGCGCGAAGACCCGCTCCGGCCGGGAGGTGCGGCGTCCCGACTCCAGCCGTGGGCGCTCGCGAGGTCCCCAGCTGGCGGCCGCCTTCGCCGCGGGGACCCGGGACGCGGGGAGCAGGACACGTGGCCCTGCCGCAGTTTCCCGCCCCGGAGACCCCGCAGGCGGCCCCACGAGCTGCTCCAGCGCCAAGGCCCCGCTCACCGCCCCCACCTCCTTCACGACCGAGGAACTGGAGGAGCAGGCGGTGTGGCCGCGCCCGCGCCAGGTCCAACCCGGCAGGGCTCCGCTGACCCCGCTCCCCAGCAGTCCCGCAGGCCGCCGCTGGGTGGCAGCAGACGCCCAGGCTCCCTGGCCCTGTGAGGCTGGGCCTCAACTTCCTGCCTGCCCCAAGCCAGCTGCGCCCAGGGGTGACAGCTAAGGCCGGGACCTGCAGGGGCTGAGTAGTGGCCACCACCCGACGGCGAGCAGAGCGGAGCGAGAACAGCCTCAGGGGCTCCCAGGTCCCTGCTTGTGGAGGCTCCCAGCAGCCCGAGTCACTGGCCCAAGCTTACAGACCTTTCCCTGATGTGTCACTGTGCCCCTGCAAGGGGCCTTGGGGCCCTCCAGGAGGCCTGGCAGAAAGAGAGACACACGTGTCCAGCGGGAACAGGTGGGGGCACCCACGTGTGCAGGGGCATCCATGTAACACCACCCAGAGGTCTTTCACATCTGCCCCCACCCCATGTCCCAGCTCCCCCAGCAGCACCTGGCAGTTTGGCCTAAGAGGGGCACAGCAAGACAAGACGCACTGGCCTGAGTCCCATCCAGCCACTGTGGACCCCTTGTGGAGCCTGGTAGCCGGCACCCACAGCTGGAGAGGGAGAGGCCTTGGGGCGCAAAAGGTGGAGCCGCCCCTTGTCTTTGGCAACCAGTAGACCTCTGCTCTTGGCTGCCATGCCTGGACCACCTGTCACAACCCCAGGCCTTGGTCCCCAGGGGTCTGAGCACATGGCCACCGCAACTTGAGGCAGTGGGTCCTCCTGGCATCTCCTCTTGGTCTCCCCCACTGCTTGGGATTAAGGGGGCCACGTGGGAGGCCCTATGACCTACAGCCTAGGAACTTCCCTAGAGAATGGAGCTGGACGGACCCCTGCTGGGGCTGAGGCAGGACATCAGCCTGAGGCAGCCGCCTGGGACCAATGTAGGGAGAGCCACTGCAGGGCCCTCAGGCAGTAGAAAGGCAACATTGGTCACCTCGAGCCCACTTTGCCCAGCTGACCTGAGTTATCAGTGTAAAGGGGATCCAGCATTGAAGCTTACTTTCAGAATTCAGCATTACTGGAAGATAATTTCTGGTTGGGACTGACACTGGCAGTGTGGAAACAAGTTTTTTATGAGCCAGAGTTTGTGCTTATGAAACAATACTTGAGGAGGCACACCTGGGTGGAGCAGAATGCACCCAGGTGTGCGGAGCAAGAGGCCTCGCACCCAGGCCTGGCCTGCCTGGGTGCCACCGCCCTCCCAGACTTTGTCTACCACTTGATCTGGGATTGGAGGGAAAGTCTGCCCCGGGGCTGCCTCCAGAAACGCAGTCTGCCAGCAGGCAGGTCAGGGCCCACCCCTCCTCAGCTCCCCTTCCTCGCCCCTGCCAGGGAACAGGTGTCCCGGCAGCTGGCGGCCTCCGCGTGGCAGGAATGGGCTCCTCACCCCCTCTCCACTGATTCCCGCATGCCCCAGCTGGGGCCCCTGATTGGCCTCTGCCCACGTGGGAGCTGGTCAGCCCCTGGGACCCCAGTCCCAGAGCCCTCTGGTGTGGCCTAAGTGCAGCTGCTGTCCCTCCATCCTGCATGAGTTCGCGGGGGGTTGGGTGCCACTGGGCTGCCCTGCAAATGGGATTGAGACCAGCCCCAGGAAGCCTGTGGCATGGGCATGCCTGGGCGCATGCGTGTGGCACTTGGCTGCTCCACCCCCTCCATGTGGCACAACCACATGGTATCCACGCGGGGTGCTCCGGCAGCGCCTGCTGGCTGAGTGAGAGTGACCGAGAGACCTGAGCCACTTCCGCCAGATTGGCCTTCTGACGCAGTAGACAGCAGGCTGCCCGTGCCACACCTGTGCCCTGTGTGTGCCAAGCCAGGCTGCGTGGAGCAGGCACGGCGGCATTTACGGGGTGCAGGAGTGCCAGGCAGACAGGCTGCACGAGACGTTGCCTGGGAAACGTCTCGGGATCCGGCGGGCAGCAAAGCCGTGTTTAGGCCTACACACAGGGTGCGAGGGTAAGGGTGTGCCATGGCACCCCTGGGCGCTGGGGACCTCCATATAGCCTGGGCTCCAGGGCCATGGCCAGGACCGGTCGGCCAGAGGTCAGCAGGCTCAAGCCGCAGCCCTCAAATCCTGAAAGCCGAAGGGCATCTGGGAGGAGGCTGGCCCCATCCCCAAGGGCCCACCTGGCCACGTGCCCTGATGGTATCCCTGGGCTAGCCACCTGTCCCTGAGCCCACAGTGGTGCTTCAAGTGCTCAGGAACCTCAGCAGCTCCATGCCGGGCCCTGTGGGCCTGACCCGGGGCAAGCGTCCCCTCCCCAGGGCACCTCCTAGCTGCACACCCAGCTTCCCTCTAGGTCTCCCCGCAGCATGGCTGGTAATCGCGAGTGCCCTCACCGTGTCCAGATTCGTGGGGTGCCGGGCCCCACAGAGCCAACTGAACAGCCCTGGGTGGGCAGCAGAGGGAGGGAGCAGGAGCCTGGGCCCTCCCCGGGGAAGGTGGGCAGGCAGAAACCCAGCTTTGGGGGCACTGTGGGCGGAAGCGGGGCTCTCAGGACTCCCTGGGAACATGTGGCTTCCAGGCTCCAGGGGTGTCAGTGTGGACCCTCATCTGGTGCCTTCTTAGGGCAAATCTGCTGCTGGCCGGGAGGCTTTTGGCCTGCTCTGCACCCTCAAGGCCCCTAAGGAGGTGCGGGACCACGTGGTGCAGCTTATGGTGTGGGCCACATGGCCAGCCCTGTCCTCCCCTACATTTTTTTTCTCCCCTACATTTTGACTTTGTGTTTTGGTTTGTTGCACTGAGCTGGAGCCCAGGGCCTTGTGCATGGCAGGAAGCCCGCCCCACAGCAAAGCTACACCCCCGCCTATTTTTCTGGCTTTCTGAATGGCCCACACAGTTCTTCCGTGAACACCTCCCTGGGGTGGCCTGGGCCCCACAACCAGCCCCACAGAGTCAGGGGTACACGCACAGCTGGTAGCCTCGTCCCTACTTCCCAGGACCCGCGGGTGATGAACCTGGGCCGCGCTGGCCCACGACACCCAGCAGGGTGCGGTCCCGCGGAAACAGGCTCTGCGCTGCCCAGCCCTAGCCAGCCTGTCCCGCCGGTCACCTGCGCGCCGCCGATCCGAGGCGCACCCTGACTCATCCTCCCGCCTGACCTGCCGTCACTCTCCCAGCCTTTGTCCATCTGCTGCCCTTCCTGCTCTGTACCCCACGTCACGCCCTCTTGGACGCTTCCCACGCCACGCCCTCCCGGGCACCGCCCACCACGCCCTTCCCGAGCGCTTTCTCTGCACGCAGGCCCCGCCCCCCGTGATGTCCCGCCCCTCATGGCCGAACCCTCCCCCGCCACGCCTCCTCCCGGTGCCCGCCGCGCCACGCCCATCCCGGCACGCCCTCCAGTCCCCGCCCCTCGCGGCCTGCTCCTCGGCCCCGCCCCCTGCCCCACCCCCTGCCCCGCCCCGCCCACCCTCGCGTGGCGCGCGGGTCAGCGCGCTGCGACCTGCGGCTCCGGTTTCCTCGGGTCCCGCAAGCTGAGCCTGGCGCGGTCCTGTGACTTCCCGGGCGAGGTCTTCACAGGGCACCTGCCAGGAGCAAACGGAAAGCGCATAGGTCAGGTTAGGTGTGTGATGGCCGCTGTGGACAGGTAAAAGCCAGTAGGTGAAACTGACCCTAATTACCATGCGCAGAGGAGCGTGGTGCAGCCTGGCCCAGGCCGCGCGGGAGCCCGAGTCCAGCAAGCCAAGGCCACCGCGCCGCCGCCACCCCGTTTCAAGCTCCCGTGGACGCCGGCCGTGGTAGCAGGGTCCGGGGCTTTGTGGAGGGCCCGCCCCTCGCTCCTGCCAGGCAGCACACCTGGGCCAGGCTCTGGGGAACTCCCCTCCTCTCTGCTCACTGGAGGGCACCCCAGGCTGGGCTGGCAGGTCCAGGTGGAGGACAGGAGAGGCAGAGCCACCCCTCCAGGACCTGCGCGGGCCTGGCTGGCTGGCCGGCGGTCAGTGGGCACCAGGGAGGGGTGCTTTTCCCTGCAGTAACAGGGCATAGGGTGCATGGCCCAGGGAGGTCACCTGCTTCGAGGCCCCGCGGCCAAGGGTGCAGTGTGGGTGGGCACTGGGAGAGCCACATCTGACCCGGCCTGGCCGTCGGAGCTCTCAGAGACGCTGGGTCCCGGCCGGGAAGAGGAAACGGAGACAGTTTAAGGGTGTGAGCAGTTGCAAGTGGGAGCGCACATTATTGGGGGACACTGAGGTTCCTGGAGCCCAGAGCACCCCCTCCCGGAGTGAAGACACCGCCCCCACCTTCTCCTGGGCCCCAGGGTCCCGCTGGCTCCCATCTCAATGCCCCCGCTCAGGAGCTGGGCTGATCAGGAAAAGCCACGCACTTAGCGCGAGTTTGTGGGGGGACGTTTGAGGGTGTACGAGTGCTGTGTCCTGGAGTGGGGGTTTCAGCGAGGGCTGTGGCAGCTTTTTGCCTGGTGGAATGGAGCCAGGCCCAGGGCTGGGGTGCTGCTGGCAGCCTGGGGCCTGAGCCCCTCCACTTTGCTGGATGTGGTGTGGTGTGGTGGCGACCAGAGCCGGGAGAGGGTGGGACACGACGGAAGCCACCTCCATCTTCTGTGAGGGAGAAGAGGCCGGGGCTCTTCACAGGGAGTCCGGAGGGAGGCTCCTGACCCGGCCAGCCCTCTCTTCCCCGGGGCTGGCATGGCTCCTGCCCCGCTCCCTATCCCCCAGACTCCTGCTCATGCACGGTTTCAGGGTCGCTGCCCGTGAGTAGCCACGTTCCCTGCGGTGGCTGAGGACATGCTGCCCGGGCCTGTGGTGGCCGACCCTGTGCGCACTGACACCCCTGTCCGGGCAGGGGCTTTGCAGTGGTGACCTCCGGACAGGCCTGTCCCCCGCTCGGTGCCTGCCCTCCCCCACCCACTGGGCTGGAAACTTATCCTTGCTCCAGCCTCGTGGATTTTTCCAGCCTTGGGTCGAGGCCTCAGAGCTCCAGGCGGGGCCGTTTTGCTAACAATTCTGTGACTGTGTGTGTGTGTGTGTGTGTGTGTGTGTGTGTGTGTGGCGTTCTCAGCACTGAGCTCAATCCCAAGGCCGCTCCTTGACCCTGGGTAGCTTCTCCAGGGGAAACTGAGGCTTGAGGGCCTCAGCCACACGTCCTATGGTGTCTGCCAGTCAGCTGGCCTCAGAGCTCCCATTTCTGGGGCACAGTGGCCGTTTGGCTCCAGCCCCAGGGTTCTTGGAGGTCTGGACCCCCAGTGGCACAAGCCATGGCTCCGAGGTTCCCCCTGGGGCCGGCATGGAGCCCTGCTCCTTGGCACTGCGACCCCTGGCCTGCCTCCTGTCCTCCTTTCTTCCTCTCAACTTTGCCCTCTCTCCCTGCCCTCCTCCCGGGCCTCCCCTCCCTCCCCTCCTGGCAAGCAGCTTGCAATCCAAACTTGTTGTTAACTTCTCCCCTGCAGTTGTCCGAGAGCCCGTCCAAGTTAAATATTACTCATGGAGATGTGAGCCTTCGGGCAGCACCCGGCCTGGAGGTGGTGGACGGCTCTTTGGACGGTGCCGGCGAGGCAGACACCAGGCCCACGGCCCCAGGACCCTCCCGGCAATATCTACAGCAGCTGGTGGGTGGGGGCGGCTGGGGACCCTGAGCCCAGACCCGGCTCCCAGACCCAGCTTCCTTAGCCCTGGCTTCAACAGAGTGGGCGTGGCAAGAGGGGCAGCCAGTGCCCCTGAGGGGCCTGGGCTGGGCTGGGCGAGGGCCGTCCCCTCTGCTGGTCATTCCAGTCCTGTGCCAGGTGGGGGCAGGGCAAGGAACAAAATGTCCAGAAACAGCTCCATCTGCTCTGCATCGATTCCTCTTACTTGCTCCTCAGTTGTCCAGCAGGGAAACAGAGGCTGGGGGTGCTCTTGGCTCAAGAATTCTGGGAGGCCCTAGGGGCCAGCCTGTCTGCTAGGACTGTGGCTCTGGGGGTCTCCCAGGTTCAGGGCAGTGGCCACCCAAGCCCCACTCTCCTAAGGAGGACAGCTAAGGTTAACATCTGCCTCCCCCTCACTTCCTCTCCTACCACTCTGTCCTCCACCCCTCTGCCCAGCATTGCCCCAGGGCCTTTGCGCCCAGCGTTCTCCCAGCTGGAAGCCTTGCCTCTCGCCTTTAGCTTTGTTCAGATCTTCGCAAGGTGCTGCCCACCCAATTCATCCTTCCAGCTGCCGCCATCATCTTCCTCCTAAGTCACAGACCCCCATCTATTGAACAAATAGAAATGTCACTGACTCCTGTGCACCTCACTCTCTTTAGAATGAGAATGCTTTGCTGCTGCCCCGCTTGCTGGGGACAGGCCGTCTGCAAACTTGGTGGAGAAGTCAGTTCCGTGTTCTCGCCTGCCCCAGGTCTCACCCACAGGGACCCCCTCCCCCAGGACCACGACCCCAGGTGTACCTGGAGCTCTGTTCAGCAGGACAGGACTGGCGACCAGGGCTCAGACTGGGACTTCTGAGAGGCCTGCAGGGGACCGCAGGGCCAAGGGGACGTGGGGTCCAGCCCTCAGAGCCAGTGTGTGACCCCGGAGGCAAAAGGGGGCAGAGGGCTGCTGTGGCGAAGTGTGGCTGCCCCGCCCCCAGGCCCTGTGGTTTCCCTCCTGTGCAGCCCAGGAGCCGTGGAGGTGGTGCCCTGCTAGACGAGCTGTGTCCTCCTCCTCCTGTGGCCCTCAGAGAGCAGCCTCGGCCCCTGGACACTCGCCGGCCCCTGTCCCTCTGCCACTCATCCTTGGGCCGGGCTCTTGAGGGTGGGGCTGCCTAGAAAAGCCCCCACGGCCAGCAGGCTGTGCACACCTGGTTAGCGACCAGTCGGCGCGGGGCTCGGGGACCTCGCCCATCTGCCCACCTCATGCCCAGACCTGCGGCTGCGCCTGCTGGTATCACACAGGCGAGTTGGGGCTTCATCCCTGAGATCCAACAGCGGCCAGGAATGCGAGCTCAGAAGCCACTCTTC